GTCCCCATAATTCAGATGCATCTGCTTATTTCACAGGTTTTTATGGTTCTTCGCGGGGCACCGGGCACAGAGGACGCAGCAGCCAAGGGCGAGGCCAAGGCTCTGCGCTCGGAGGGAGTGCACCTGGCGGGTGAGGCGGACAGTAAAGGAATCACCACGTGCTCGTGCGTCCTGAGCCGCAGCCACGACCCCCACAGATCTTCAGCCACACGATCGGCGTTGGGGGGGGCGGGGGGAGATCCCCAGCTCTGCGCTCCCTGACTGCCAGCGGCACATTCTCGCCAAGGCCTGCATTCCCCAGCCTGCTTCCAGCCAGCGACTGACCATGATGGCGGTGATGTTAGGGCAGACCTGTTTCTGGAAAATGTAGGCCTCTCCTGCGGGTGACTTTACTCAAGGATCCCCGCCCCCCACTGCCTTGACAAAATCTTCCCGGGACTGCACTTCCGCCTAGGACACGCCCACATGTAGGACATGCCCAGGTCTGGGACACGCCCACATCTGGGACACGCCCACGTCTAGGATGCACCCAGGTCTAGGACGCGCCCGTGTCTACACAAGCCTTTTCCTGGAACGCATCTATGTCTAGACCAGCCCATGCCTGGAACACGTCCGTGGGCGGTCTCTTGACTCTCTCCCCATGTTCCTCTCATGTGCACAGCTTTCCCAACAACCCTTCTGCAGGTCGAGCCCCATCCTGGCGTCTGCTTCTCAGAGGACCCAGACTAGAACAGGGAGCCGCAAGGGCCACAAAGAAAGATAACAAGGTGACGAGGGGTGAGCGGATGGTCTCCGAAACAAGGGCGGTCAGAGAAGGTCCCGGGCAGAGCGGCCTCTGAACCACAGAAGTAGAGTTGGAGGAAACTCTGACTGTGGGCGCGAAGGAAATGGCTTACGATTCCATCACTGATCTTCGGCAGGTCAGCAGGTAGCTGGTCAGTGCGCTGCGCCCATGTGTTGCCGGGTGTTGGGATGAGGTGCCATGGGGGTTCTCTGGACACGGCTCTCGGCCCAGACCGCTTTGGGGTGCGCAGAGCCCCCGCCGCGGGGCACGTGCCCGAGGACGCAGCGTGACAGAGCTGGCTTGTGTTCCCCTCCAGCCTGCCTCTTTCCGGCCCTCCTTCTCCTCCTCCCACCCTGTTGCTTTATGTCTGTTTTGCTGCTGGTGCCGTAGCTTCTGTACCGACTCCCCGATCAGCAGTCGGAAAACATGGGCTGACATTATCTCTTTCTCTTCTGACCTTCCCTGCGCTGTGTCCAGAAGTGTCTGTCTCCCGCACCGAGCAGGCTGTCATTGAAATGCGCCTCCACCTGTCACCCAGGGCTGAATCACAAGCACGGCCCGTCTCCGTCTGAACCGGAATGTTTTAGAAACAACCTCTGTCCCCCTCTCTCTGCCCCTGCGTAGCAAATGCTCCTACGGAAACCACGTGACACGGAGAAGCCAGGAAAGGTCACCGGCAGGGTTGAAATCCAGCTCTTCTGTTCAAGGAGTTGACACGGGGACACACACCACCGGACCCACCTAAACCATGGAAACCCTGAGACCATTTTATCCTCTTATGAATAGTTCTGAAGAGCGTCAACTTTCTCCAAGTCCTGGCTGACGCGTCTGCCAAGCGCTGGCACCAGTTCGTCTGGAACGGATCCCCCTTTGCTCTTCTGGCCAGAGCCTGGCCGCGGCCACCTTCCACAGGAAGTGGGCGGCCGTCCTTCTGCAGCACGGAGCGCGTGGGGGCTGCGAGCATTTTCCATACGGGAGTGTTCACGGCCCGAGTTCCCCCAGCTTGGCAGGGCGCGGCTGCGGCGGGGACGGCGCCCACGTCACGGAAGGTGGATCTGGCGTCAGCGGCGGCGGGGAAATGCCGGAATTCATCAGCCCACGCGCACAGCCGCGCCGGAGCGGCGAGTTCACCCCGTCCCCTTCACACCCGCCCCCGGACGTTCTGCTCCGCGGGCGCCTTTGGGGCGGTACTTGGCTCCCTCCCCGTCCGGGCTGCTAAAACGCTTATAAATGCGTCCATTTGGAGAACGTGGAACTCTCAAGGGACACAATAGCTGGTCATCTCGACTAAAAATTGTCACCCGTATTTGCACTTAACTTTGTGATAACCGGTAACTAGTTGTTTTTCATTACCAAGTCCTTGCAGATAGATATTCGGGAATGGAGAGTGAGGGCATTGAAGGCCGCGGGCAAGGCACCAGGGGTCTGTCGGTAACCCTCGTTCCGGTTCCCCGAGGAGCTCTAGTTGTGGAGGGGACAACCCGCCAGCTGGTCATCAAGAAACGGGCTCAGTAAACCAGGACATTTGTTTCGCGCCCCAGACGTCTGTCGGACGATCTGACGGACTCGGGAGGGGCCCCTCTGGAGCTAGGGAGCAGGCCGGACTTGCATCTAGGGGACGTGTCCTCGGCGTGCTGTCCCGCGGCGAGGGCCCGGGGCCCCCCCGCCCCCGCGATCTCTGCGCAGAGGCCAGAGGGCTGCCCCCAGAGCGCACCCCCAGAGCGCGCCGCCGCGCCCCCGGGACTCCGTAAGGAAACGTGCGCGTGGCTGTGGCTGGCTCGGCCTGGGGCGCTCTGGACGCAGCCTGAGCGCTCAGCGCTCGGTGAGCGGGAGCGCCTGCGCCGCCTGGGAGGGTGAGTCTGAAATACCTCCGCTCGCGGCTGGATTGGCCCAGTGCAGGTAATGGAGGGGTTTGCTTGCTTGCCTGTTTGTGTGTCTAGATGTAATACAACAGTTCAAGGCTGAATGCTGCTCTGAAAGGGGAGTCAGGAGCGTGAGTGCTCACAGATGTGAGAGTCCGACTCGCCACGCTCTTCCCCTTTTGAGCCAGAGCCAGGCAAGTCTCCTTAGTTGTCTGAGGCTCGGTTTCCTTATAAACTGGAGGCTGTTTGTAATACCTCCCTCGCAGAACAATTGTCAAAATAAAATAATGTTAAAACACATGTCAAATGGTGGGGAGCGGGGAAAATGCCAACCTTCCTGCTGCCCTACACAGACGATCCTATTTCTGCAGACTCTGGAAGACGGGGCTGCTTTTCAGGTCGGTGGAAAACCCAGTAAAATCCGTTTTGAATTCTTAATTGCATGGCAACTGGAGTGTGAAATGTTGGCACTTCTAAAGGTGCCAGACAGCTGAGCTGGAATTACTAGACAGTTCCAGGACAGGAAGAAATACAATAGAGGGTTATGCCATCATTTTCTACCCAATCCTAAAAAAAAAAAAAAAAACACTTAGCTTCTGCCTGTTGAAATCCCACTCTCTGGGGCTGACGGGTGCTCTGCTCCACAGCCGACTCGTCCACCTGCTGCCCTGTTGGGGGGCTGGCTGAACGGCGGCCCCTTTGGAGGCAGGTAAAACCATGAAATAAAATGCCAAGTCAAAGAAAAAAGTAACTCGTTTCAAACTTCCAGTGAAAACTAAGCCATTTAAGTAAATCAGAATAGGTACAACGGAATATGAGTAATTTTTATTTTTATAAGATGAAAATGAACAAACCATGGCATGATGGGGGTCTCATATCTAGGGTTTATCAAAGGTGCCAACGTGATCATTGTAAAGTGGGTAAATACCATAATGTAAGTAAAGCAAGATAGCGTAAAGGTCTATTTTAAGTTATGCCAATTATCTTGTGATGATATGTATAGATACAAGACATCCATGTGATTACTTCTAGGGATTACATTTTTTAAAAGGTTTTATTTATTTATTTTTAGAGAGGGAAGAGAGGGAGAGAGAGAGAGAAACATCAATGTGCGGTTGCTGGGGGTCATGGCCTGCAACCCAGGCATGTGCCCTGACTGGGAATCGAACCTGTGACACTTTGGTTCGCAGCCCGTGCTCAATCCACTGAGCTGTGCCAGCCAGGGGGATTGCATTTTTCACAAGAAAAAAGTGGCTTAGTTTCTCTACCTGCAAGTCCAGGATGGTTAAACCGACCACGGACTCCAACCCCGTGGGCAGATTCCCGAGAACCGGCAGCACCGCCGCGCGGCACCTCCTGCCTCCACCGTCCACGCTCAGCCCCACCCCCTGAACGCCGGTCTTTCTGCGGATGGGACACTCCTTCTCTGCTGAAACATCTGTCCCAGAACCCCGAAGTCAGATGGGGAGACCTGACACATATTATTGCGTGACCCGTTCCGTGTCACATACTTCCTCAGTCACCTTTGTCTTTCCCACCAGTACACGGACACGTGTCACAGGAGGTGTGTGAAACGTCACTCTCAGACGCCGTCCCTCCGTGGCTCCGTTCGTGTGGCAGCACGGGCTCCCTGGCCCTTCAGGGTTTGAGCAGACCTTAACGACCCAGCAAAGACGGCTGCCAGTTCACGATTCCCTCCCCCTCTCTCATATACGCATGTGTGTGTATATGTGCATTCGTGTGCATTTTGTTTGTCTTTACTCTTCTAGAAGTGTATGCAGAGAGTCGACCCTCAACAGCACACGGCGCTGGGGCGTGAGGAACTTGAACCTCCGGGACCTTGGCCTTTACAAGGAGGAGGCGGGACGCCCGTTGAGTCACGGTCTCAGCCTCCCTGACCGAACGCTGAGTGAGGAGAGGCACGCAGCCGAGCCCTGGAGAGCGAGCATCTGGGATGACTGCCCCGTGACTCACAGCGCGTGGAGGAGGGCAGAGCCCTCTGGAGGAGTCTGTAAGGAGGCCTGGTGAGAATTCTTCACCCGGACGTGCGGCTGTGTCCCGGCCGCCAGGAAGGGCCCGGCCCTACCAACCCTTCTCCACCGACAGTGGCCGTGCGTCATCGCCCGTAACTTTCATTCCTCAAGTAAAACGTGGGGTGTGTCTACGTCTCTCGGCTGTGTTTTGACCCCAGACTCCCTTTGAGAAGCTTATCTGGGACTGGGTGGGTGCAAGGGGAGGGGCCGGAACCCTCTGTCACCCGCTCTCCTGGGTGTATCCCAGGTGAGAAGGCCGCGGCGCCAGGCCCGGTGACGGCCAAAGGAGCCCCCGAGACGAGGGAGATCAATGCTCGCACAACAGAGTTACGGGCTGTTTATTAGTATTCGATCTGCAGTGGAAACAAAATGCTGCCAAAGGAAAACGGCTACATTTCTATCACATTATCGCTACTGATGAAGAGTGTGGGAAGCGGAACAAGGAAAGGGCACGGTCGGCACGCCGGGGGCGCAAGGGACGTCCCCCTGCTTACAGGTCGTCCGATTCTGGCACCGCGGCGGTGGCGTCCTCCGCAGGCTGGGTGGTGATCACTATGGGGATGTTCTCTGATGCCCACCCCTTAGGAGCCCTGTTGAAGGACCGTCTGCCCAAAAGAGGGTTTTCAAAGGCCATGAACCTGGAATCTGTTAGAAGTAGCAGCTCGAAATCTGGAACCTTGAATTTAACCATTTTGGATGCTTTCTCAAAACCTCCAAAGGGGGTGGCAACTCTGTGGGGAGTGGAAAGAAGAAGAATACGTTGATTTTCAGGTTTGTTCACTGGGAAACAGAAAACGGCCTAACGCATCCTCGCTTGGTGGGCACTTAGGCTGTATGCCCCGTGTGACCCTCCGCTCTTGACCCCGAGACAAGCCTCTCCTCCATTCGAGGACCGAGGCTTCACGACAGACACTGGCAACTAACTGGTGTCAAGTCCCTTTGGGTGCACTCTTGGTTCGGGACGAAACTAGTCTGTTCCCTGTCCCCTGGAGACCATCTCGAACATGCCCTGGCTTTGGGGCTTTGCTCGGGGAAGCTGTCCTTTCCCTGCCCGCCCTCCGCCTGCAGCCCCTAGGTTCCTGCCTCCTGCCCCTCTCCCAGCCCCCACCCCTCCCTGCGCCAGATTCCTGCAGCAGCACCACTGTCCCCTGCCTCCCTCGAGACTCAGAGGGGGGCTTAGACCATCATTCGTCTGAGCAGCTAACCGCGCACTGGGTTATCACTCTGGTGCTCCGAGATCGTTGGGCTTCAGCGGGCGAAGGGAGCGAGGAGAGTGGACAGCCAGCCAGGGACTGGGCGCCGGGCACCAAACGGTACCAGGACAGGAGGCGCCCTGGGCCCGGGTGATCGTGCAGAGGCTGGCGGAGCCCAGGGCGTGTCCGGAGAGTCTGCATCCCTGACCCGTTCCCGCGAGATGCCCGAGCTGGTCTGTGGGGCCCGCAGGTTGAGTCCCAAGGCCTCACAGGGGCGTCTCCCTAAATCCTCACAACCTCCTGAGTTGGTTCCTCTAACACCCCTATGTGACAGATGAAACTGAGGCACCGAGCAGTTAAACGTCTTGCTCGAAATCACCCACCCACCCACTCAGCTGTAGAGCCAGGACTCGAACCCAGGCCCGCAAACGCCCTGCAGGCCTACTGTCCCGGGACGCCTGTGCCACAGCCTCGGGACACCCTTCCCCACGAGCGGTGGGCCTCTGAGGGCACTTCGTAATGCAGCGTGCTTAGGACCGTCAGCCCCCCCGGGCCCAGTCTGAATGACGTCACCCCACGTTGCTGTCACGTTCCTGAAGCCACTGCCTGGTTCCATGCCCGACTCCTGCTCCTGTGATGTAACGAATTTAAGAGTCTTTACGGCTTAAACCCGATTCCACAGACAAGTAGAACCCCGGACTAACTCTCTAGGTGTGGGCTGACTCTGGTCAATTCATTTCATGTCTACGAGTTCCAGAAATGAATTTTAGCAATCCGTGTCTTTTTTTTTCCTGCCCTGAATCAAAGAAGAAATGTTCCTTAGCCACCAAAGTCCAGTGTTTGGGTTTGGGAGTAAGGGTAGGGCTTTTTCCCTTTCTGTCCAGTTCTGTGTCGCTTCCCCTCCCCGTTGGTGGGTCGTTTTCTTCTCTGCAAATGAAAACATTCCCTTCCGGCCCGTCCGCAGCCTCCCACCCGCCGCCCCCTCCGACCCGGTGAGAGCTCGCTCTCAGAAAGGCCAGTGTTCTTTTCTTTGGCACCGCGGGCGCTGTATCCTGTTTGTTTGGATTTTTATTGCTCTCGGCACACAGAGCGAAGAAAGTCCGTTACCAGAGATGTTATTAAACATTCAGAGTGAGCCTGCTTGTAGGGTATTGACGAGCTCTGAAAACAGGGTCAAGTTTTGTTCAAAGATACCGAAGCAAAAACTTCCACAGAAAGACTTAGAACAGTCCTTGTAACTCCCACAGAAATTCTTCAGACAGATCGGACTGAACGTGATTTCACACTCGGTCGTCTGCGGAGTGGGCTAGAAACCTGTTTCACTGAGGTTCACCATTAACAGATGCTTCTTTTGTTTATGTAGATTGATCAGAAATGGGGTTGCCTCTGTACTACTAGTTAATGCTGCCGGACTTATGATACCCCCCCAATAGTTACTGAGTATTCTGTAAGGCACGGGATGTTTGTTGTAAATGATCGTAGAAATTAAAATAAGGTATTCAACTAAATACCTAAGGTATGTATAAGTGTACAGGTGCTCAGTCACAAAACCATAGAATGCACTTGGCCGATGAGGAAATCGACACCAGGAGGGTTAAGCGGCAGCGTCACGCAGCGTTTTGAAACCGGAAACCGGGCCCCAGTTCACGGTTGCTCCCACGTTACCTGGGCTTCATGCGCTATTGTTTAAATATAGTATGATGTCTGCACAGGGCGTTCCAGATGGGCACCAGACTGCATAGTTGTATCAACTCCGGGCTATTTTAAAAGCATGATTAGACTTGGGAGTCATTTCTCCTCTGCCCATCATCCCTGCTGAGGGCTAGCGGGCCGCCCCTCACCTCGCAGGCCCCACCGACAGTATCTGATAACCATGTATAGTGATGTATAGCCACCAATAGTAATATTTTACTCTTTGCAAAGGACTTTGGGAATATTTGGAAACTATTTATTTCTCTCTTTCTGTTGCTTTCATTTGTTTTTCCAAAAATAAAAAAAAACCCAAACAAACATGTATTAGGATAAAGTCCTAATATAATGATGTTGAATTATTGTACTCCTTATTACACTTTATTTTTAAAATGAATAATAGTTGGGTCAAGAACTAAATTTCTGCTCAGATTACTTTCTCATAACCCTGAGTAGTTTGATAAAATAAAATCCTATTGAATAACCTATAGCAAGAAAGATATTAACCCACTTTGTCCCTAGGAATGATTTTAAACTTTTTAAATTATTAGAATGTGTTCTGGACTAATCCAAAAAAATGACTTTTTATCACATCTAATTTATAAAGACCCCGATAACCACTGAAATTATGTTTCCTTTGTGATTTTTTAAAATAAACGTTTATTGAAGTCTAAGATGCATTTTAAAAAGTATACGAATCATAAGGTGAACATTGATGAACATTATTTATGTTCTAATTACTTGTTGCTGGTCTGGAAACACACCACTGATTTTCGTTTTGACCTCGTACTCGATGATCTCGCTGCACCCGCCACTCCCTGGACTTGTTGAGGACGTCGCGTTGTTGGTGAGCAAGGGCGGTGGTGTTTTTCCTTCTCTGCCCACATACCTGTGTTCATGAAACAGCTTATTTGTCTGGAAACATGCGGCTGTGTTTTCCTTTCACCTTCACCGCACGGAATGTTTTCGCCGGTCGGAGACTCACAGGCCGGCGGTCATTCACATCCAGACTCCGGAGCTGCCCCACTCGCGTCGGTGCTCAGCGGGTAGAGACCCTGTGCCTTCGAGTGGCCGACCCAGTCGCATGGCGCTCCTTGAATCCGAGGTGGGTGTCTTTTGTCAGTTTTGAAAAGTTCTTGGCCCTTCATTCCTGAGATACTGCTCCTGCCTTACTCTCGCTTAGGCCCTGCCGAGACGCGAATCGCACCCACACACTGGCGCCGTCATTGCTATCCCTAGTGTGTCTTCCATTGCCCCCACCCGTGAACCATTTATTCCTCCGTGGGGCAGTTGGAACAGTGTCTGCTCTTCATCTGTGTCGCCTGCCATGAAATCCACTTACTTAGTTTTCAAAAGCATCCCTACTATGGACTGTAACACAAGTACAGAAAACCTCCTGACCATGTGTCATAGCTTATCCCGAAGCCAACAGTCCGACCACCACCCATGTGCTGGGCCCCCGACCCCCGCCGCCCCGAGGCCCCCTGCCTCATCACCACCGGGTCCCGCCAGGGCAGTGGTCCACATGTTGGTTCATGAGGATATCCACTTATAAAATACTTTTTAAAGCCTTCTACCTATGTCAACGACACAAGGGTGCATCGCTAAACACAACAGTTCGGTTTTGCCCATCTTTCAAGACAACATCTTTCCAATCTCTCACCCCTTCGTGCCTTCCTCATGTTTGACTCACTGAAGACGCAGACCTCTGGGCCCTGGGGTTGCCCCCACGACTGACTGGTGTGGGTTACGTTCCCCTGGTGCATTTCAGCATTTCTCTGTTCTTGTGTTTCCGGTCAGTGTTACCAGGACCCAGGGACTTCACACTTCGACGTCCTCGTTTCAGCGGCTGTGTTTCCGATGTGTGTAGAATTCCCACTGGACTCTTTCTGAAACCCACCCCCAGGCTGCTGGAGCTCTTTATCCTGTCCTGTCTCCTCTCGAACAGCCTTCTCACCATCGATTTAAAGTCCACGCCTCCTATCCCAGTCGCTGGGTCTCCTGCGTGCTGATGTCTTCTGCTTGTTACTGTTCTCTTCATCTCTAGTTGCTTGGTTCTGTCTCCTGGTGTGCCCGGTAATTGTAAATAAACGATCAACATGGTCGCGATGGCTCCGGTCTCTGAGCGTGCAATCTCTCCGGCAGAGAGGGTCTACTTCGGTATTACAGCAAGCAGCGCGACTTCAAGGAGGGGCCTGGGCCTGGCCTACAGCTGTGCTGACCCGCACAGGCATCCATTTTCACGGTCCCTGACCTATCACCTGTTCGCCTTGAATCCCGTGATAGAGCTGTAGACCCCCCAGCTAGCAGCTGGGGCTGATTGGACCCCCCCTCCCAGCACACCCTCGGCTTTGGGGTTTCCTGTCGGGGGGTTCAGCTCTCCGTACACCGTGATTCGAAAGCCGGGGCAGCACCTGGCAGCCCTGCCGCCGGGATGCCCGAATTACCTGTTGAAGCTCCTGTAATCGGGCAGCTCTGCCTTCCCCTCGGGCTTGAACAGTTTCGGGTACAAGGCCTCCAGCAGCTCCGGGTCGCCGCCGATGGCCTGCTCCCAGGGCGACTGGTAGTACTTGGGGACAGCCGTGGTGTTGAATCTCTCCGGAGGAATTTCCTTCAGCGGCCCAGAATATCCTTCGGAAAAGCACGGCAAGAATGAGTAAACACAGAGCAACCGAGAGTCACGGACCTCCGCCTGGCACTTCACCATGTTTAATTTTCACGCAAAATAAATTTATAGAGAATACATCCTTTTTGTGACTTCTCAGGAATGAGAAGTCACAAAAAAGTATGAGACATGTTTAAGCCCCTTTAAGGGAATTTTCAGAAGAAACCTCTTGACTTAGTATGAATTTGCTCAGTGTAACTATTCATTTAATTTTAAATAGTCGGGCCCCTTACATTAATTGGCACAAGCATTTAGATGTCACAAGTAATGAATTAACTTGAACATCTATACTGAGAGTCTCCCGTGGGCTGGGCTCTCGGGAACAGCAATGGAGACAAAGTCTCCCTCGTCTTGGAGCTGAACTGCCAGCGGTGACATTCGGGTGCGTCCGGGAGCTGGCGAAGTGTGTGTTTCCACTTCCTGGGTCAGGCCCTGGTCTTCTCAGCCCCCGATGGCTGCGTCCCCTGTTCACTTAGTTCCGGAGACTTCTCTCCTGGCCCTTCTGCGTCTGTCTCGCCTCCCCCCCTCCTCCTGCACAAGCGCTAGCACTTTCTGTCAGTGCCGTGTGAACATCGCCCAGACTCCTGGCAAAGCTGTGAACCGTCTTCACGCGCACCGAGGGGCACGCGCCCAGCCCCCGGGCCCAGCCCTGGGCTCCCCCTCCTGCAGCCACCCCGCCTGCGGTGTCCTTCCCGAGTCTCTCCGCCCGGAGCCACACCCCGCACCCGGACCTCCCCGCTGGGACACCCTGCCCTTGGTCCCCCGGGGCCCTCTCCCGGCTCGAAAACAGTTTCCGTCCCCCCGCCCCCGCCGGTCCCTCCTCTGCCCATGAAACTCCCTCTGGGCAGCTCTTCGTGGCGGTGATTCCACTTCCTCCCGAGAGCCGCCAGCGCGCACCTCGGTCCCCCGTGCAAGGCCTGCCCCTCGGACACTGGTGTCACTCAGAGCTCTTTGTCAGACTGCACAGACTGCCCAGAAAATTCCATCCATGCTCCAGACTCCCATGAAGACCGGCCCATCGGTGGCTCCGGGTTCCGATTCCGGTCCCCAGGCCCTCGGACTCCAGCACCTGTGGTGACCCCATTGTCACTGTGACGGGGGATCACCCACAAACGCAACGGGCCGTCCGGAAGGACAGAGGGCTGCTGTGCGTGTGTTTGGCGTGGCGGCTTGCGGTCTAAACATTAACATTGACTTCGTGTTTACCCACAAACACGGGGTGGGCAAAAATAGGTCTGCGGTTGCACGTAAGGAAAATGCAGTCATTAGTGAAGAATAATACAGAAATAAACCCTGTTTTCGTGTGCTCACCAGCATAAGCCTCCCCTTGCCTGCCCACCCGCCTGGACATAGTGAGACAAACTGTGTCCCTTTGGTGCCACTGACGGAAGGACCCAGTGGCTTGAGTCCGACACCTAAAAACGACGGTACTGCTCTGTTTGTCCGGTGATGCGTTACCTGGCGCGATGCTCTCTGGGTTCGGGGGGCTCCTCGGGTCTGGGCTGTTGGGGGGCGTGAACGGCGCTGGCTGTGGGCCGCCGTCCAGGGGGCCGCCGTCCACCTTCCCGTTCTGCACGGCCAGGCTGTACTGTGTTGGGTCAGAAGGGACTCTGCTGAGAACTCGGGGGTGTCGGCCATGCCACCGGGGGACATGCGCGTGCCCCCACCCCCACAGGCAGGGTTTAATGAGCACGAGGTCGCGACCCCGTGTCCTGGGGCCTGGGCCATTTACGTGGCTGTCGGCTGAGCTGTTGAGTGAGACATCTCCCTGAAAACCGACCTAAGACCCGATCTGTGCGGACAACCCTCTGACCGTGTGCCGGGCGCCGCGTCCCGGCTCTGTGCTGACCGTTTAATTTCCTGTCCACAACGTCCCTGCCAGGTGCATCTGTTCAGTCTGGAGGTCTTCACTGGTCTGACACAGGGCCCGCTGGGCGGGCTTCGGCTGAGCCACGGTCACATTGCTATTTTATTTACCGTTGGGATTTCATTAGATTCCCTAATAAGTCTTGTTTCAGAATTTAATCTGATGGAACATCAGTCATGTGTAATAAAAAAGGTACTTTAAACGATGCAAACTTCCTTATAAGGAAGGATTTGGGATTTCAAGAAAACAAAATGCTTGAAAGATTATTTGTCTTTCAGTTTTAGGTGAACTTGTTTATTATTATAACTTAGGATTTATTCTATGGCAATAATAAAGCAGTTTAAAAACAGCCCATTTGCATTTTAACAGAGAAAACAGGCATTGTAATAGGCTATGCCCTCACAAGTATGACTATACTAAAGCATTGTTTTATTTTTATACAGGAAATACATGTCCTTTTTTTAAAAAAAAAAAAGCCAATCTTTCGACAATATATAAAAAGTATATAAAGTCAAATTAGTTTTTAAATTTACTAAAGAGCATAGCAAATACAGACCAATTTTGACAATTTTCTGTGAGATAGGCAGAAAATATTTTAACACTTTTTATTTCTATATTTATACGGGGATACAGTGAAGTGCAGCTTTGTATTTTAATATGTAACTTTACAGAAATGTAAGAATAAAAGGCTGTTTTTGTCCTAAAACCCAAATATGTGCCATAATTGAAGGCCACAAATTCAGGGCCACACCTGAGGAGTTCTGTAATTTGTGCCAAACATAGAGTAAAAGGTATTCCTAGGACACGCTGAACACACATTCAGAATCCCAGTATATTTGGTTTGGTCTTATTTCAGAATGACTTTTTATAGTACGTGTTCCCTTTTCCCAAGATTATGTGGGATTTCCAGGGGTTTCAGAAGGCCCCTCGTTACTAAACACACAGGTAATCCTCACTGTGCAATGGGGATGTCTCACTGAATACCCTCCTGCCGTGGTTTGTGCGAGGGAATCCTGCCTGTTCTGAACCCCTCTTCTGCTCTGTTTCCCCCCAAGTAGAAGATTCCGCCTCCGCCTCCTGTTCTGCCTTTTCGCGAGCCCAGCGCAGCGTGCTCACTCCCGAGCCAGAGCGTCAAGGCGGCCGGCGCGGCGAGCCCGGGCCGGGGCCTCGCCTCCCCTCGGGAACGCTCGCTTCCTGTTCCCACTATTTCTGTCCCAGACGGCCCGCGTGGCTGGAAGTGGCCGGCTTCTGAGCAGCAGGCTCAGCCCACAGCTGCACCTACTTGTTTGTTCGTTCCTTTGTTTGTTTGTTTTTAAAAAAAGACTTAATGTTTGAGCAAGTGGCATGGGTCACCAGGAAGGGAGTTTGTTTGTTAATAGCGTTTCAGGTACGAGACATTCTGCCCAAAGAGTTCTGTCCTCGGGTCGGTTCTGTGATTGACAGGCAGCAGACCTCCCCCCGCAGCGCAGAATCGGAGCTCCGGAGGCCGAGGGGGGCCGCGGTGCCCAGGCCCCTTCAGAGCCCGGGTCCTCGGACAGTGGCGCGCTCCCGCGCGCCTGCCCAGCGCCCTGCGCTCGGGCGGGGTTTCCATCCCAAACGTCCCACCGGCGGTGGTAAGACCGCAGCCCATGCGGGACCCCGCCGCCCACTCCCTCCCCTGCTCCTGGCAGAGCGGAGGGGGCACTTGGAGTGCCGAGTGGGCCCGCCGGAGTGTCCCCATTGAACTAAAAAGGGACTCAAGTCGTGCAGAATATTTCTTCTGTTTACCCCCGAGATGAGTCACTCTCTCACTCTCTCTCTCTCTCTCTCTCTCTCTCTCTCTCTCTCTCTCTCTCCCCCCCTCTCTCACACACACCCCAAAAAACCTCCAACAGGCCCCACGGAAAGAACGCAGGCAGAGCGCCCGTTCGCGACCCCGCCAGCGCGTGTGCGCTCGGAAGGGCCGCCGCGCGACCGGGGGTACCTACGTCGATCTGCGCTTTCGACTGGTACTGGACGTTCTCGAACGTGTACTTGTCGGAGCGCCGCTGCCGCATCTTGAACAGCCGGGCCCCGCGGTTGCCGAGATGGGACAGCTCCTCCAGCATGATGTCCCTGGGGACGCTGACCTTCTTGCCCAGGTCCATGCCGTCCACGTCTGGAAAGCGACACGCACGCGCATGAGAACGCGAGAGAGCGTTTCCGCCGCTTCCCCGCGTCCCACAGCCGCCGCCTGCTCTGCGCGGGGTGTGGCCTGAGACGCGGGCTGCGCCCTCAGACTGCCCTGGGCCGAATCCTGGCTCCCCGCGCCCCAACCACGGGGACCTAGACATCCTGCCTGCTTCCTCTAAACCTCAGCGTGCTCATCTGTGAAATGGGGCTCCCAGGGGGCAGACCCGCCCTGCAGGGATGAAGTGAGGGTTAGACACAATGCCGCATACGAAGCACTTCGCTCAGCACCGCGCGCACACGGTGAGTGACAGTCAGCTGCCGTCACCAGAGGCAGAGTTCAGTCTTACCATGCGCAGTGAGCTTTCAGGCGGCCCTGCGTAGAGTTCTCTTAATGAGCTCGGGCGGCACCCCACACTTTTACGCGTCAGTCGGAGCTGTTCCTTCCTGGGAGGCCCGCCCTTTCCCCCACGCCACCCCCTTTCCCTGCCTCCGCCCAAACTCTAGGCATGCTGCAGGCGGCACCCAGGAGCCCCGCTGGCCGGGGGTGGGTGAGGGGAGTGGGAGAAACAGATCCTGCTGAGTCCCGAGTGAGGGCCGCCTCTGGGGCTCCCCCCCCCCAAGCCTCTGTTCACAGCTGCTCCCCGGCTGCGCCCCGCTGTGCCCCCGCAGCACAGAAGAACCGCGCTCACTTCTCTCCCGTACCCTGCGGTTTGAACTTTTTTGTGTTTCCGTCTCTGCGTCTCCCCTGCATTAAGTGTACCGGGATCACTCAAGAAGTCAGAAAGATACCAGGGACATCTCCAGACCCTCTGAACCTAAACGACACCACTGCTAAATAATGGGTCGACCAGGGAGCCCTCGGGGAACCAAAAAAGTTCCGAGAGCTGAGTGAAAAGGAAAAGAGAGTGCATCAAAATGCTCAGGACACTGTTCCCCCAGTGTGGGAGGAGCATTTATGGCGCCGAACGCACACAGTACAGAAGGGGAGGGGTCTCTAGCCAGTGACCTGAGGCCTCCCTGAAAACTGGAAAAGGAAGCGCAGACCCACCCAGCGTGCGAGCGGCAGTAAGGAATGGTGGGGCTGGGAGCGGGAATGAAAAACGGAAAAGCAATAGAGAAAACCCGTTAAACGCGGAGCCGGTTTTTGAAGAGACCAATAAAAGGCATGGTTTTCTAGTTACACTAACAGAGAAAAACTATAGAAGACACACATTAGCCACATGCGGAAGAAAACAAGCTATCAGTAGAGGCGGTGCGGAGAGCAAATGGGTGATAAGACCCCACCGAGAACCCCTCTACACGTAAATCCACGTAAATTTGAAAACGCGGAAAAACTGACCGATTCCTTGCAAAGCACAGAGAACCGCACGTCGCCCCACCTGAAGTAGTTAATCCAATCACTTCTGTGTCCACGGGGCCAGTGGGTTTATACCTTTAAAATGTCTCAGCAAAGCAATCTTCAGAGCTAGACGGGTTCACTGGAGAACTCTGCCACTTGAGGAAGAGCTCACACCCATGCTACGGGGTCTCTGCCGGAGGGCGGGAGAAGAGGGAAGAGGTCCCGGTCCCTCGTGAAGCTAGTGCAACCCTGACCCCGAACCCAAACAAGGACACTTTCGGACGAAAAGCCACCGAAGGACGCCCCCCGGGCCTAGAGAAGCAGAGTATCAGCAAACAGAGGTCAAAAGTGATCCCGCACCAGGAGCAAGGGGGCCCTCGCAGGGGCGGGAGGCTGGCGCGACTTTACGAAACGAACGGGACAGCCCACCAGCCATTTCCCGGGCTAAAGGAGACAGGCCACATGCCCTCAGGCTCTGGGGCTGGGCGTGGCCTTGTTCCAGGCCACACCAAGGGCGCCACCCACCGGAGAATAAACGGACAGGTGGGACTTTATCAGCATCAACCGCTTGTATTCTGAGAAAGGCTCTGCTCGGAGGATGAAAGATGAGCCACGAAGCAGGAAAGAACGTTCACAAAGCACACTCGCTGGACAAGAGGCTGGAGCGCACGAGGAACGCCCCAGGCTCGCCGGGGGAGAAGCAGCCCGTCCCATGGAGCGCGGACGGGGGGCAGGAAGAGCCTTCCCACCAGCAAAGTCATGCGAGGACCGGGAAGCGCATGAGGAGACCGTCGAGACCATTATTCAAATCAGAATTATAAAACGGCAGCGAGCCACCACCCCGCTCGTGAGTGGCAGGGTGGCTCAGGGGAGACGCGGCGGCGGGCCTCGCGCCCGGGGAGCGTGCGGACACACTGAGGTGCCTCTGCAGCGGAAAAGTGGGGCGGCCGCTCTGGAAAAGACTTTAGGAGGCTGGGTGCAAAGCTGGGCGTGGCACCACCAGCGTCACGGGGCGTCCGTCCCAGTGAAATGAAACGTGCGTTCACACAAAAACTGCCCACGAACGTTCTCAGCAGCTTTAGCCTTAGTAACAGTAAAAAGCAGAATAAAAAAGTATCTGCTTGGTGGGAACTATGGAGGGTCCTAAAGCGGCACATGTCTTCCGAGTCCGCACGCAGCGGCCCCTCCACGGCAGCTGGAGCCTGGCCCTGGCGAGAGCAATCTGCACCCCAGAAATAAGCAGACCTGGGGAGCCGAGGCACACCACACCCCCAAGAGCCAGTAGCTGAAGATTTACTAGCGTCCTGCTAGACACGGGCACATGCTAAGTCGACACATTCTGCACAGACAAACCACAAGAGACATAAAGTACATTCTGCAAGGTTCTCTCCCCCTCCCTTGCAACGGTTGAATCTCGGGTGTCGCCAGAGCGGGAGTCAGGCCACCCTCGAGGGAAGACTCCAGCGGATGGGCACCCTCGTCCCTGAAACTGTCTGAGTGAAGGAGGCTGTCAGCTGGGCCCGTGGAGTCCAAGGTCAGCTGTTCTGGGCCCTTCCCGGCAGCCCCGGGGCAGGGTTTTAGCCGCGTGCCCGCGCGGGATGCCTGATAAATGATATAACTCACTCGGGACACGCGCCCGTGACCTCACGCGCTCGAAGGCCGCCTCGGTGGCATGAGCTCATCTATTGAAAATGATATGGCCGGGCGTCCTTTCCTGCTGAGGTCATGGGTCCTGATCCAGACCTTCCCGTGGATTCTTGGGTCATTTCACAGAACTTCGCCTGTTGTATTTTGCCACTCGTTCAAGGAAATCAGTGATTAACTTTGAGTAAACATTTAATTATCAAAGGATAGCAACAGAAAACTTGAGGGTCTCAACCATAATCAAATTAATTCATTTCCACCAAAAAAACACACAGCTTTTAATCTACTAGAAACATTGAATAGTTCTTACCAATATTCTTCCTCAATACACTGTACTGCACAGTACAACCTTACACTGTTTTTGTAGTTGAACTGAGATTTAAAACCTCACACTAAAAAGCTCACATAGTTCGGTCTTTGGGGACAGGTGCCTTCCACTTTTCGCACCGCGGAGCCAGGCTGCTGTGAGGACTGGACGCCAATCGGAAGAGTCTGTTCTCCCGGGAGAAGGGCAGCCACCACTGGCAGACACCGGGGCCAGCTGCCTCTCCGGCCCTGGCTTCAGTGAGTCTGTCTCCTTAGGAGCACCCACAGCGTAAATCCCTCCACGGACACTGTCTGGGTTTTCAGGTTACTTTTGGAGACGGACAGTCTGAAACTGAGTCGGCAGAGATGTCTGTGTGCCCGAGCAGTTCCGTATTTTCGATCGGAAGTTCGGATCCTGCCAAAGGCACAGGTTTAGGCAGATCAGCGGATTCACTTCACACTTTGTGAAGACACCCACTTGCAAATATCTGCGGGAAGGCGAGACAGCTTTTACAGCGGTTTCCCACGATGCCCCGGCAGCTGCAGTTCCAGCGGACCGGGCAGACCCCTGGGGGGGCCCCTGGGGGGGAGCCCCTGAAACGGACTGGCTGCGGGGGCCCCGTGGGCTCACTCGGCAGCCTGCCTGAGGCCTTGGGGTTTTCTCGGGGCCCACGGAGGACGCCCACAGACAGTCGGCCCCTGGGGGCCGAATGCTAACCCGTGAAACGTGCGTTGTTGCAAAATACAATGTAAGTGACGATAGTACAGGCTGTGATCGGGACTAATGTCTGAGAAGACTGCAGTGGATTGAAAGTGTATTAGTGATTTCCTCTATATTAAAAAGTTGATACAGATCATTACTAATTATTATATTTAATAATCAAACGTGACCCCCATCCTCCATACCCCCCACCGTCATAATGACGGTGACCCCCATCGGCTCCGCTGCTCCTAACACTGACAACCTAGTAACGAGGGCGACCCGGCCGAAGCGCGCGACCCTAGGGTCACAGAGGCCTCTCAGTGGTTACAGGCCGGGGGTGTGGTGTGTGCGCTTCTGGGGCACGAGGTGACTCGAACATAACGGGTCCAGAAGGAGTAACAGTTTGGGGGTAGGAGGTAGAGGCTGGGAGTTTGCGTTTTTACTTCTTGTATCTAGTTTTACGTGTTTTAGTCTACACGGGTAGGGCTTCCAGTAACTCCTTGAGGCTGTTTCCCCTGCAGATGGGATGAGCGCTCCGATGTAAAACTCTTGTCTTTTGATTTTTGTCTTCTTCTGCTGACTGATCCCAAAGGCTCACCAGCTGCGGTCTCCCCCTCCCACCCACCCACCCTGGGCAAGGACGGGACTGAACTTCCGCCTCGTGTTTAGCAGATGACCGGCTCGCTGTCACATTCCATTCTCCTCCAGGCTACACGTTTTGTTTTGTTTATTTCTCCTGAAACTGGGTATAAACAATAAATTACTTATAATACTACAAAAAAAAATCCTGAAACGGAGAGACTTCCCGCCAAGATGGAGGCATAGGCAGATACACTGTGCCTCCTCGCACAACCAAAGGAAGGACAACAACAAGTTTAAAAACAAAAAGCAACCAGAACTGCCAGAAAATTGAACCGTATGGAAGTCCAGCAACCGAGGAGTTAAAGAACATTCTCCCAGACCAGTACGAGGGGTGAGATGGGCAGCTGGGTGGAGAGAACTCAGGGCAAAGCAGCGGCTGGAGGACCAGGTGGTCCCACATTCACGTGCAGATAAACCGGGAGGAACAACTGGGGAGCGAGACAGACCACGCAACCCAGAGTTCCAGTGCGGGGAAATGAAGCCTCAAGCCTCTGAGTGAGAACACCTGTGGGGGCTGTGGCAGCGGGAGAAACTCCCAGCCTCACAGGAGAGTTCGTTGGAGAGACCCACGGGGTCCTAGAAGGTACACAAGCCCACCCACCCGGGAATCAGCACCAGAAGGGCCCAATTTGCTTGTGGGGAGTGGGGGGAGTGACTGAAAGCTGGCAGAGAGCCAAGCAAGAAACAGTGTTCCTTCTGGGGCCCCTCCCCCACACACAGCACCACAACACAGTCAAGTGGGTTGCCCCGCCCTGGTGAGCACCTAAGGCTCCGCCCTTATATGTAACAGGTGCGCCAGGAAACAAGAAAAATGGCCCAAATGAAAGAACAGACCAAAGCTCCAGAAAAAACACAACTAAGTGATGAAGAGATAGCCAACCTATCAGATGCACAGTTTAAAACACTGGTAATCAGGATGCTCACAGAAATAGCGGACTATGGTTGCAAAATAGAGAAAAAAGTGAAGGCTATGAAAAGTGAAATAAAGGAAAATCTACAGGGAACCAACAGTGATAGGAAGGAAACCGGGACTCAAATTAAAGGTTTGGAGCAGAAGGAAGAAATAAACAGTTAACAGAAGAGAATGAAGAAACAAGAATTCAAAAAATGAGGAGAGGCTTAGAAACCTCCAGGACATCTTTAAACATTCCAACATCCGAATCATAGGGGTGCCAGAAGGAGAATAGGAAGAATAAGAAACTGAAAACTTGTTTGAACAAATAATGAAGGAGAACTTCCCCAATCTGGCAAAGGAAATAGACTTCCAGGAAGTCCAGGAAGCTCAGAGAGTCCCAAAGAAGTTGGACCCAAGGAGGAACACACCAAGGCACATCATAATTACATTACCCAGGATGAAAGAGGAGAGAATCCTAGAAGCAGCAAGAGATAAGGAGGCAGTTACCTAAAAAGGAGTTCCCATAAAACAATCAGCTGATTTCTCAAAAGAAACCTTGCAGGCAAGAAGGGGCTGGAAAGAAGTATTCCAAGTCATGAAAGGCAAGGACCTACATCCAAGATTGCTGTATCCGGCAAAGCTTCCATTCAGAATGGAAGGGCAGATACAGTGCTTCCCAGATAAGGTCAAGTTAAAGGAGTTCATCACCACCAAGCCCTTATTTATTATATGAAATGTTAAAGGGACTTATTTAAGAAAAAGAAGATAAAAAACATGTACAGTAAAATGACAGCAAACTCACAATAATTAACAACCACACCTATAACAAAAACAAAAACAAACTAAGCAGACAACTGGAAAAGGAACAGAATCAGAGAAATGGAGATCACAGGGAGGGTGATCAGTGGAGAGGGGGAGGGGGTAGACTGGGGGGAAAGGTACAGGGAATAAGTAGCATGAATGGTAGGTAGAAAGTAGACAGGGGGAGGTTCAGAATCGTATAGGAAATGCGAAAGCCAAAGAACTTACATATACGACCCATGGGCATAAACTAACAGGGGGAAGGGGGTGGGGACATGTGGGTGGGAGGGGGTGTGCAGGGTGGAGGGGAATAAAGGGGGAAATGGGACAACTGTAATAGCATACTCAATAAAATATATTTTAAAAATTCCTGATGCACAAGGGAAGAAGGGCCTTGAAAACATTCCTCTCTGTTCATTTTCATGAAGGACAGGCTGAGCTGGAACACCGCCCACCTGTCTGCAGTGGCCTGGGGGGGCCACCCAGTGGGTGCGTGGGGGGCCGGAGGGCTGTGCCAGGATGGTGTCTCTGCCCCTGGGGTCTCGTTTCCGTGTCCTTAGAAACGCGGTGCAGCCCCCAGCTCCAGGCCCCCACACGCTGGGTCGGGAGCAGACGGAGCAGGCCCCAGGAGGGGCCAGGGGGCGTGGGAGAGGGACTGAGTTACCCGTCGCTCTACGACGCCCTGCAGCTAGGTGACGGGAGGTGAGCTGGCCAGCGTCTGCGATGACCCCGTGTTATCTGGGCCCTCGCACTGCAGACAGAGGCAGGGCACATGACTCCACTCGCAGGCCCGGCCTCTCCCCGGAAAGGCGGTGGAGGGGGTGGACAGGGGATTCCGGGGACTTCAAGAGGCGGGACCTGCTGGGGCTGAGACTCTAGGGTTGAGGGGCTTTCCCCCCTGGACATAAGATTGTAGTTTTTATTTCATAAATACAAGAGCTATGCTGTATGGAAAAAGGCAAAGGCATTCTCACCCTTACAGCTCCGTGTCTGGACTAAGTCCCAACACGGGATCTGAACTGCGCATTCATTGGATGGGTCAACGGATTCATCATCTGGATGCCATGAGAACATGACAACTGATCCCAGGTCTGGTTTGAAGGCAAATAGTTCAGCCTCCAACCCGAGCGACCACCTGATTTTTGCCACGTGGACCGAGAAAATTGCAGAAACAATCTCAAGTACACTGCCCGGAGCGGCAGATACGGAGACACATGTGCCCATTTTAAAGAAGCGCGAGTTCTGAGGCTCTGGATTCTGGGAAATCGGCTCTGAACTCCGGGTTGGAACGATTCGCACACTGGGCCGAGATGGCCCGTAAAACACGGGAGCGGAGCGGGGTGGGGCCTGGAGTGCGGAGTCCGTCTCCCAGAAGGGGGAAACCGTGGCTGCAGGCCGCACTGGTAACCCCGCACCTGGGACCGTCCGCTCCGCCTCCTCCTCTAGGGGCGGGGCTGGCGGCTCTGCGCCGGCCGCCTGGTCCCCACAGCTGCTCTCACGCCTCTGGGTCTCAGCACCGCTCAGGGAGCGGGGAAGGTTGCCTTCCTTGTCCGCGGAGCGGGACGGGCACCGCAGGAGCTGCACGGGTATCTCCGGAATGGCCCAAACCCGCCCTTGCAAGGACATTCTACTCACCCTCACGGAACAGCGGTGACGCCCGTGGCCCGTGACCACAGCTGGGTTTCCCTTACAACAGTCAGAATGCACCTATCTGGGGCATTGCTTTCTGAGTGCTTTTGCCGGAACTGGAAGGGAAAGGAGAGAGGGGACTGCCCCTCTGCATCCGATTTATGCTGGGAATCTTTCGAATCATAGGCTTCGGGACGACAAGACCTTCGTAGTGTCCTAGGAGTCACAACTAAAAGCAGATTCCTGCACAAAATACCCTGGTCAATTAGTCCCTACATGCGATGCCTGGTTTCAGGGTGAAAGGCGTTGGCAATGAATATGAATTCCAACTTAACGTGTTTTGTAAAACAAACAAACAAAAAGGGATGATGGAACCTATTTTGAGTGGTGTAGGTGCTGGGCGGGGGCACAGGTCCAGACTGGCGGGTGGGGTGGACGCGGAGGAGAGGGGTGGGGTCCGCCCGGAGCGGAGGAGGGAGCCGCGCGCTCAGGGGGCGGGGGCCAGCCGGCCCGGCCGGCGCACATCAGCTGTCGGGCGGCTCCGTCCCTGCAGGGCAGTTGTCCCTCTGAAAATAGCTTCCAGATGAGAGAGCCGGACTACAAAAGGATTAGCTGCCGCGGCCTCTCCACCCCCCGGAGCTCGGGCCGCAGGGACAGCAGACCCGGCCAGTGTTCAGAGGACGTCAGCCGTGCAGGCCGGCGTCCGGGAGGGCGCGCGTGAGGGCGTTCGCGCCGCGCGGGGTGTTACCGGTACCGTGTCCGTGCGCCTCCCGCGCGATGGCGGACGCCTGCTGCTTCCTCTGCTTCACCATGGCGCTGTGGGACAGCATGGCGCTCAGCCCCTGTGGAGGGACACCAGGGTGAGGCAGTGCGAGGACCCCTGCCGGCCTCCGAAGGAGAGCATCTTTGTTCTTTACGGAGAACCAGTCATTGCTTTCCGCGGAAGGACTTCTGAGTGTGCTCTGGTCTGAGACAGAGCCTGCGGCCCACAGACGGGCAGCGTCCCCGTGACCAGGGCTCAGGCGTGCCTGCGTCCCAGCAGACTGGCCACCGGGCCCAAAGGGCTGGCCACCCCACCCCCACCCTCTTCTCACGCGTATTCCCCCCTGCCGCTGAGTCCCCACCGGCCCCCAGGGTCACCAGCATCCCAGCACATCAGCACACCAGCCCCAGCAAACCGGGAGGATGGGGAGATGACGCCAGACCACCCCAGAACGCTTGGGTGCGGACACTTTAAAATCGGCCTCAACAGCTGTCCTTTGAAGCAAAGAATGCCCGTTTATGAGTCACGGCTCAGAACGCCCGTGGACCACTGAGCAGTAACACATCTGAGGGGACAGGACACCCACCTTGCTCCGAGCCCGCGCTTCCCGGCAGGACGAGCCCCGGCGTGGGGAGGAGAGACGGGCGGCCGCGGGGAACCAACCGGTGGCTGGGGCCGAGGGGCTTTATCCCTGCGCCCCGGACGGCATGGTCCCTCGCTCTGCTCCAGCTGGGGACTGCGCCTTTCCCGGGAGACTGGCATCCGGCTGACATCAGCCGGCTATATATAGCACCGAATGCTCCAGCGACTCATATCTTCCTGGCGGGAGAGAGGAGCAGAGGAAGATTAGGTCCTCTCCATTGTGTTGCCGCTGGGCGAGGTGGCCGCAGGGGCACCCGGCAGCAGGCTCTTGCGGGGCACTGTCTCCGCTTGGAGGGATGGTAGCCGAGAGGGACTTGAAGAACTTTTCAAGATGCAGCTCTGATGCTAGATCCTAACTGAGACGGCGTGGCAGGTGATTAACAATGCAAACGGCCCCGTGCACCATTGCATCTGTGGGGTTTCAGGAAGAAAGCGGGCGATGCAGGGGGAGGGGGGGGACCGGCACAGCTACCCCTTGGCGGGGCTGAGAAAGTGGGTGACGTTTGTTGGGCGAAGGGGGGAGCATTGCGAGGTGGACGTTCGGTGCTGAGCCACGGGGCTGTCGAGTAAAACCTCAGACGCCAGCCGGGGCCACGCTGTTTGCAGAGGCCCCGCAGAGAGCCAGGCACACGCAGCGGCCGTCTCCGCCGGCTGGGTGGCCGGGGATCCCTGCCCAGGAGCAGGGCGGCCGTGCCGTCCGTCTCCTCGCTGCTCCGGGGACGCGGCATGCTCCCGTCTCTGGGCGTCTCCCCACCCTCGTGGCTCCATCACGCCTGCACCACACCCATGGGTCTCGGGGGTCCTCCTCACGCGACCTGTCTGAAACACCCCAGGGCGCCCCCCTCCAGCCCCTCACTCCGAGTCACGTTTCTTCCTATTCTCACGCATCCTGTCGGCTTTGGCAAAACGGTTTCTCCTTGGAGCCGAGTGAATACCTTCCACACAAACGTGGGCCCAGAGGCGACTGCAGGAGGTTAGCGTAACCCTCCCCTCGGCCACCTGGGACGCTCGGCCCTCCGACCCGACACCGAAGCGCATCACCCGCCTCGGTCTCGGAGCAAACAATGCTCTCCCGAGTGGCCACTTAACGGATTGAAGTCAAATGGGGATGACGGAAAGCGCCCCAAACGCAGGCACCGTGAACAGTGGAGGCCGGTGTCCCGCCCCAGCTTAGTCTGGGGACACCACGTGGCGTTGGTGTGACGGGCTCACCAACAGGGGCTCGGTCACCTGCTGGCATTGCTCCATGGTCCCTGAAACGACGCAGACCCCTCGGGCCTCACTGCCCGCTGCAGCCCCGGTCAGCGTTTGGTGTCTCAGCCGGCAGGAGGCAGAAGGCCCTGAGCCAGGCTCGCTGCCACTGCTCTGGAGCATGGCCGGACGCTGCCCGAGCCCCTCCCTCTCCCTCCCCTCCCTCTGGCCAGACCCTCGTCAGAGCGCCACTCAGGGCTGGAGACGGGTTGGCGACGCGGACGGTGCTGTGTGGCCGTGTGCCCGGCTGAAATGCAGAGGTCGGTTTGCCGACAAAGCGGATGGATGGCCACTGGGAATCAAGGCTCAGTTTTTGCCACAAGGACACAGATCATTTCATCTATTGTCTAGCCAGCCAGCCAGCCATGCACCCGCCTGCGCGGTACCTGTTTTCCTGCTAAACCGTGACCTCCGCAAGGGCCTGGGCCTTGTCCACACCTGCAGCAGCAAGGACCGCGTCCGGCCCGTGCGGGCGCTCGGTTCTCACTGACCGCAGGAGTGGGATGGAGATCGACGGCAGGACGCACCGGCCAAGTGGCCTGGGCCGGCGTCCTCTCCCCGTTGTGGCGAACCCCGGGGCGGAAGCGGGGTCGTGACCCGTGAATGGTCCCTGGACATGAGACAACGGTGCCGCTCGGGACGGAATTGTTTGCTCCGAGACCGGGCGGGTTGTGCGCTACGGTGTCGGGTCAGAGGGCCGGGTGTCCCAGGTGGCCGGGGAGAGGGTCATGCTAACCTCCTGCAGTCGCCTCTGGGCCAGCGTTCGCATGGACGGCACCAGCTGGCTTCCGAAGAGAAGCCATTCTGCCAAAGCCCCCAAAGTTAAGTTCCACCTTAAGACCCTTCCGTGGTCTTTATATCCCAGGGTTTAGCGTTTGCTGTACGTTGCTCTTAAGCTAGTCTCTTACAGTCTTAGTTTTTTCCATCCATCAAGCGGAGGTTACAGTTTCTGCCACGGAGTATCACGGACATTTGCATGGAATAATTTTAGAAATCTCTGATAGCTAATAAAAGTTTAACACTATTTATTATTACCAGTAGTAGTAGTATTCCTGAAATATGCAAGGATTTAGAACCCCAACATAATGAACTGAATTATTCAGGAAAAAATAAAAGCATCTTCAGAAAGCCCAGTTTTCCTGTCTGGTCCCCTCCAGAAGGTTCCGGCTTCGTGTTCTGTGCAGCTGGGCAGGTTGCAATGCTCTTGTTAATGTTGGTTTCCAAAATAAAAGGAGATATTTTAAGTGTCTTAAAAAACGTATCAGCTTACTTGTATTTATTTTTCAATCGCACCTGAAACTGTTTTGCCGTGTGTTTCAAGCTCCTCTCTGCAGGTCTCTGACAGCTTCCTGGTGTCCGGCTGCCATTGGTTCTGGAAAAAGCAGGAACACGCCTTGCACCGTGGTTTCTGGGCGGTGTCTGCGCTCCCCGGGCTCCGTGACGCCTGGGCTCCGTGGGACCGGGGACGGCCCCGGTCCGTTCCGAAAGCCGGAGTGTTTCCATCGCCAATTGAGTCACGGCCCGTGAAGTTCTACTCCAGCTGCACGGAGACCTACTGTGTGCGGATCAGCTGCCACTCCCCCATCACACTTCCCGCAGATTGGTCGCGGCGCTCTCCCCCTCCCTCTGTCCGCAGCCCCTGCCCCCACCCCGATCCCGGGACCCAGCACCGCCCCCTGCACGCTGTGTGTGCCGGCCGGGGGGCCTCTCTGACCCCCGACCTCAGCACCCACACCTGTCCTGTCCTACTGACTGTTCTCGTCCCGGAAGGGTCCCCCTAGCCTGCTCCGAGCAGAGGATACTTTGTGTCCCCCTCAGGGCCTGAAGAATGTTAAATTAATTCACGCTCAGGGTACGAGGCGAGAAGGGCTTCTCCCGCAGACGCAAGCAGGGGTGCTCAGGGGGACCGCGGCGCCCCGGGAGGCCGCTGAGCAGGACGGTGTTGGGCGCAGAGCTTGGCCACCCTGAAACCAACCTCTCCCACGGCTGGGGCGGCCGCAGCCGCGCGGGCAGCTCCTGCACCGCTGGCGAGAAGAGGGAGAGTTGAAATGAGGTGGATTTTACCACCCGACAGAACGCCACTCTGTGGGGCCCATGAAAGGCAGCCTTGTTCAGCCAGGGCTGCCCAGGGCCCCCGCCCCTCCGGCTGGCACTTGTGTTCTTCGGCCCGTTTCCGCCTGCGCTCCGTGGCTGTGGGCAGTTCGAGATCGGAGCCAGACCGGGGTGGGGGGAGAGGGGGCGGATGTGGGGACTGGCTGTCCGAGAGGTGGGCGGAGGGCACGCCGGGACTGCCAAGCTCGGTCCTGGGCTGACGCATGCTTCGCTCAAACAGGGCTGTGCACCCGGCCACAGGCAGGGTCTGACCTCGGGGGGAGGTGTTTGTGGGACGGCCCCGTCGCCGTGGGGGCTGTCTCCTCTGTGGACGAGGGTCTGCTTACAGCTGGTCTCCCCAGCGGGCCCTGGAGAGCAGGTCCGCCCTCAGCAGGGCTGCAGTGACCTCACCACCTGCCCTGGTGAGACAGTGGATGAGTCTGCAGCTGGCTCACTGCAGGGAAGGGCCGGGGGCACACGGGGGTGGGGGAGAGGAGCTGCAAAGCCCCCATCAGATCGGGGGGTGGGCAGGGCCATCACCCTGGTGTGGCTGGACGAAACTGAGGTTCTGAGAGGGTCGGTCCCTTCTTCTCGTGCATGAAAGACACCGAGACGGAGTGAAACCCTGGTTCCGCCCGGTCCAACGGCCGCCCTGCGTGCGCCCCACTGTGCAGAAGCCTCGCCCCCCCCGAGCACTGACTGCTGGGGGGTGGGCGCCGCCCCGGCCGTGCTGGAGGGGCGGAGTCGAGCGTGTCCGAGCGCTGGGTGCCACACTGCCCTCCTCGCTCCCCCCGGGAGTCCGGCGCCCCGACACCGGGTTTGCTTTGGCCGCAGTGCTGGCCCGTCCTTACAGCACTGCAGGCCCTCTGCCAGCCCCTGTCCCTCCGGTGTGCAAACTTCTGGGGCTCCTCCCGGTGTCTGTTCTCAGGGTGCCTTCCTTCCCCTCAGCTGTGCAAACACGAGGTCAGCAACACGCGGAACACACATGGATGGGGGCCTGCCCGCGTGCTGCGCGGCCCTGCCGCGTCCTCCCCGCCCAGACGCGCCTCTCCCTGGAGGTTGGAGGTGAGGCTCGCCTCCCGAGGCACCAGAACGGCCCCTTTATAGGAGAGCCTGGTGTCTGGGCGCCACATGTCTGTCTTCTGCTCGGGCACCTCCTGTGGGCTCCTGACTGCAGCCCGGGGGTGCACGGGGGCGAGGAGGGGAGGAGGGCAGAGCGCCGGGCCAGCCTGTTGAGGACCAGACGCTGGCGGATGGGGCTGGGAGCCTGGAAGGAAACGACATTCCGCACACAGGAATATTAAGGAACAGGTTGCCAAAGAAAACCTGCAGACCGTTTTTTTCCCTTGGCTCGCACAACCCAGCCTGTATCCACGACTCGGCCCCGTTTCCTCCCCCGGTTCCAGCCAGCCTGTGTTTTTCCTCTGGTCCCCAGAGCAGCTTCTCCGACAGCTTTCTCGACGGCGAGGAAATGCATCCTGCTCCCGCGTACAAAGCAGCATGGCCGCATTACATGAAAGTTCGCTGCAGAAAACATGAAGTGTTTTTACAGAATGCGGAGTCCCGGAGTTCCGTGACGGAACCCGGATCCGCGCCCACGTCTCCCAGGCCCGAGTCTGTGCTCTGTGGCGTGGCTGTGAAACAGGGACAAGCACGGTGTCCCCGCTGTGTCACGGGGTGGGGCGCACCACGGTGCAGGGCACAGGGGACATGTGCCGAGGTGACCGTCGGCCACTGCCACCTTCATCCCCCGGCCTGAGGCTGTGAAAGGGCCATGAT